CCGCCTCTCCGCGCCGCGCCCGCGGTGGACGCCGTGCCTTGCCGGTCTGCCCCGACACAGGCTCCTCGCCCCAACTTCCGCAGGAGAATTACTGTAACCGCCCCCGCTGCACGGGCCTAAGGGTAATCTCGGGCCTGAATCACAGCTTATAGCCTTTACAGTCTTTTATAAACTTTTCAGATTCAGGATTTAGGAGGCTAGACAGTTTTGTAAACATCTGTTTGGCTGGTGTACTGAAATGCTTCCCTGTCAATGGTAGTAGTTTGTTTTTTAAGCATTTTGTGCTCAGAAGAGCCGATTATCCACTACGTATAGAAAAAAAAAAGAGTCTTACTTTAGGTTAGAGAATCTCCGATTTTGTTAACACTAAGTGTCTGTTGCTTCAGGGCCAGTATGCAGACTCACAGATGTTTAGAGCAGACAGTAACACTACTGATCACCCACTCGATCAATCTGATACCTCTATAAGTAGGTACATTTTGAAATGATGAGTTAAAGCACCCAAATTATAAAACAAGCACGTCTTAGGTAATTTCTCACCTAAAAACACTCCCAAACTAAAGAAATGAAGGTTTGTTATCAAGAACTACTGTTCCTATGACGGTTAAATATGCTGGTAGTCAGAGGTTCCGGGGTTCCTTGTAGTCCTGGAGGTGCAGTACAAATACTGTGGAGTTTAAAAAGTGTGTCCATAGATATGAGTATAGATGGTAAGGTATCTATGAAGGTTTACTCAAAATGCTTCTTGTCTTAAGTCATAATCATTCGGCCTGACTGTATGGATTGCTCTTCCACACATTCATTGACACCTTAGAGACTCTGTATATATAAGCATATATTAAAGTAAGAGGGGGTAGCTCGTGTTATAAATGAGATGCAATGCAATGTATAATAATATGCAATAATGTAATTAATGATCTCAAACTGATGGGTTGATTTTAAGATGAGTATGCTGTTTTTTAAAACTCAGTTATTACATGATTGTGCTTTAGGGGGAAAAAAAGGACAGAGGAGAAAAATGTTATATGTAGAGTATTCTTCACTATTTTGTAGATTTTAGAACCTTTAAAATACTACTTAATTTCTGCACCCTGTATTTTTGTAAATAAATAAATTGATTTGTTGTTGCTGTCGTGCATAGTCAGTGATCTCTGTACTTCTGTCATTCCTTGTTTTTTCCCTAATGATGTGTGTGGCAGCCAATATAGCATATTGCTTTTGCTACCTTAGTATCAGGTGGAAAAGTTAGAAACTGGAGAGAGGTCAGAAAGGAGGGACAGAAATTATTACATGGCTAAGTGCCAGCTAAACACAAACA